GTGAGCTGGTGGTGGGGCCTCTGCCGCACCCCTCCTACCTGCGGGATGTGACGGTGGAGCGTCACGGGGGGCCCCTGCCCTATCACCGACGCCCCGTGCTTTTCCGAGAGTACCTGGACATAGACCAGCTGATCTTCGACAGAGAGCTGCCCCAGGCCGCTGGTCTCCTCCACCACTGCTGCTTCTATAAACACCAAGGACAGAACCTGGTGATGATGACCGTGGCCCCCCGTGGTTTGCAGTCAGGGGACCGGGCCACCTGGTTTGGCCTCTACTACAACATCTCAGGGGCTGGGTTTTTCCTACACCCCGTGGGGTTGGAACTGCTGGTAGACCACAAGGCTCTGGACCCTGCCCGCTGGACCATCCAGAAGGTGTTCTTTCAAGGCCGCTACTATGAGAGTTTGGCCCAGCTGGAGGACCAGTTTGAGGCTGGCCTGGTGAATGTGGTGCTGATCCCAGACAACGGCACAGGTGGGTCCTGGTCCCTGAAGTCCCAGGTGCCTCGGGGTCCATCTCCTCCTCTGCAGTTCTACCCCCAGGGCCCCCGCTTCAGTGTCCAGGGGAGTCAAGTGGCCTCCTCACTGTGGACTTTCTCCTTTGGCCTTGGAGCTTTCAGCGGCCCGAGGGTCTTTGACATCCGCTTTCGGGGAGAACGACTAGCTTATGAGATCAGCCTCCAAGAGGCCTTGGCCATCTATGGTGGAAATTCCCCCGCGGCAATGCTCACCCGCTATATCGATGGCAGCTTTGGCATGGGCAAGTACTCCACTCCCCTGACCCGGGGGGTGGACTGCCCCTACCTGGCCACCTACGTGGACTGGCACTTCCTTCTGGAGTCCCAAGCCCCTAAGACAATACGTGATGCCATCTGTGTGTTTGAACAGAACCAGGGCCTCCCCCTGAGGCGACACCACTCAAATTTCTACTCCCACTATTTTGGGGGCCTTGCAGAGACAGTGCTGGTCCTCCGATCTGTGTCGACCTTGCTCAATTATGACTATGTGTGGGATATGGTCTTCCATTCCAGCGGGGCCATAGAGGTCCGATTCCATGCCACTGGCTACATCAGCTCAGCATTTCTCTTTGGTGCTGCCCGAAGGTACGGGAACCAGGTTGGGGAGCACACGCTGGGGACCGTCCACACCCACAGCGCCCATTTCAAGGTGGATCTGGATGTAGCAGGTAAGATATCCTGGCAGAAACAAGGATTCTAGAAGAGGGGACTGAAACATTGTCTGTTTGCTTCGGGTTTTCTGGAAGCCATCCAGGAAAGGAAGATCTGAGCATGAGTTGTGGTTTGGGAGTTTCATACTTCCTCTTTTGTTGGATGGGAGAAAGTTGGCTGCTGAATTTTATTTGGATCTTAGCTCATTGGCTGAGTGCAGAGCTGCCCCCCTCCCTCCACGTGACCTCATCCGAAAATCTTGAGAAATGGCAAAAGCTCAGAGAGGAGGAAGCCTCTGGGCTCACAAGGTCCCCTTTGCCCTCCTCCCTCCCTTGCTCTTTATATAGGCCCCACTTCAGGGAGGCAGCCACTTGTTTTTCAGTTCATTTCTCTGTGTGGCCTGTGGTGCTGAGGTTTCGGAGGGTCTGTTTGCATTGTGCCAAGTCCCTGGCACACGCAGGCCTGTTGTGGAACACCCCAGGTGGTACATTTCCTTGGGAGATGATCCCCCTCCCTGAATTCCATCTCTCTCTGGGCACAATGCACTTTATAGCGTAGGTGCTGCAGAGTGTTCAGAAAGATCCTGGGGCTGGCGGTCACAGAGAGAGTCAAAGATACACGATGGCTTGGAGTCTGTCTTTCCACTTTCCTTCCCCACATTGAATCAATCACCTATTTTTTTCTGGTCTGTCTCCAAAATACGTCAAAACCTTGCTGGGCCAGCCTTCTCTCTGCTATTTCCACTCTTCTTTCTCTCAGGTCCAGGGGCCACCTGCCAGCCTGTGCCTGCTTACCCCCTCCCCCCAGTTCCAGTTTTCCCCCATCACCTAAAGGACCCACCCTCAGACGGTGCAAGGCCCTAAGGCCCTTCCAAGAGTGCGGCTCCAGCCCGCCTTTAAGACTCCTCCCCCGGCTGTTTTAGCCATGCCCACACCCTCCCAGTCCCGGGACACACACGTCCTCAGGCTAGTTAGGGTTCTATGCTTTTGCTGATGTTTTGCCCCTCCCTAGAATGCCCTGCTGTGTCCTCCCTGCTGGTCATATCTTCTGAGACAAGGCTGAAAGGCACACAGGAAGGCCCCTGTTTCCTGCCTGCCCCTGTATTCCTGTGACCTTGGGCCTTGAATGTGTTGCTCTCACACAGCAAGCCAGATGGGGCTTTACCTTCTGCAGCCTCCGTGAGAGCAGGAGGGAAAGCACAGGGTTTCATTCCTCCGTGTCTCTCCACTAATAAGTGTAAAAGATTAATGAATGAAATCCTTGAAGAAATACTTTACAGGTCAACAGCTTTGGCTGAAAGATCAGGGATATCTTGGGGAGAAGGGAGGGAGGCAGGGGGCACACTCACTTCTGGGTTTCTCTTTGGCCCCACTCTGAAGCAGTGAGTGGAGGGGAGGGGACACAATCCAGACGGGACAGGACAGCTGCATGACCAGCCCTCCCTCCCACCCACCTCCACCCCACCCCGGCAGGCCTGGAGAACTGGGTCTGGGCTGAGGACATGTCCTATGTCCCCACGGCGGTACCCTGGAGCCCCGAGCACCAGATGCAGAGGATGCAGGTGACCCGCAAGCTGCTGGAGACTGAGGAGCAGGCCGCCTTCCCCCTGGGAGTCACCCCACCCCGCTACGTGTACCTGGCCAGCAACCACAGCAACAAGTGGGGTCACCGGCGGGGCTACCGCATCCAGATGCTCGGCTTTGCTGGGGAGCCGCTGCCCCAGAACAGCTCCATGGAGAGAGCCTTCAGCTGGGGAAGGTGAGCGGCGGGGTGTCAGAGAGAGGCTGGGGGAAGAGTGAAAAGGAAGAGTGCGTGGGGAGGAGCAACTGGGAGCTCAGTTTAAACTGTATTTGAGGAGAGGTGGGAGCACCGTTAGGACTTCCGGGTTGTCAAAATGCATGCACGGGGCATATGTTCCCTGCGGAGGGCTGAGGCCCAGGCAGAAGAACCCTTCCTCGCTTGGGATGGAGGGAGAAGCCATGCTGTGAGATGGCAGGGGGGTGAACGGGAGAATGTGGAAAGAGGTTGGCTGACCCACTGGGGTGGCACCAGAGTCGTGGTATGAGTGAGATGGGAAGCCCGAGGCCCATGCACTCAGCCCCCTTCCATCATAATCAGGCAGCAGGACGGGGTTAGTGACCATGGAGGCCTGACCAGTGCCTCCCTAGGTACCAGCTGGCAGTGACCCGGCGGAAGGAGGAGGAACCCAGCAGCACCAGCATCTACAATCAGAACGACCCGTGGGCCCCCACCGTGGATTTCACTGACTTCATCGACAACGAGACCATTGCTGGAGAGGTCAGCTGACTGTGGGACGTTCAGGGGAGGGAGACCCAGGGCACAAAGAGGAGCCCCACCTTTTCTTTAGTTTCCTAAAACCCACCTGGTCCCCCAGGGGTGGAGCTGACTCCAGCCTTCCTTGCTTTTGCGGATCCGATCATTACCTCTTGAGGGAATCTTCCCAGGCTGGGAATTTGCAAACATTGGCTGAAGCCCCAAACCATCCTGGGGACCCTGCGGCGTTCTGAGTCTTGGCGTCTCGGACTTTGCCCTTTTTGGGCCCCAGGGTTCGAGGACGGCTGGAAGACCACATCTCTTGTGTGGAAAGCTTCTCTCTTTGCTGGCTTGACCTCTGAAAGATTAATTTCTTTTTTTTTTTTTTTTAATATTTTTATTTATTTCTAGGAGAGAGAGAGAGACAGCG